ACTCTTCTCCAGCACCACAGCTCAAAGGCATCAATTCTCCTTCTATCCTCCTTGGTCATTGTCCAACTCTCTGATGTATAACAGGTGATTGCGAAGACCATGGCCTGTATCAGATGCACCTTAGTCTCCAAAGAGACACCATTGCTCTTCAGCACTTTGGAGAGGTCCCTAACAGCAGACTTTCCCATGGCAATGCTACCCTTACATCACCTTTTATGTGTTTTGGAGTATTATGGGAATGTTTACTTTCCAGGTTTGGAAATAGAATTTTCTTTTGTTATATTAATAATCTCCAGGTTCATAGGGTTTCTGGAGGCAAGCTATCTATCGAAGTGGATGTCACTCCTGCTTCAAAGCATGTTTCAACCTGGGAGCGCCACCAAACACTGTCCACCATGGGTAACTGTTATCGCATTTGACATAACAGTGTCACAGTGTTCAGCTTCACAGTGACCACAAGTTACCTCTTTATTGCAAGTGGACAGACCAGAGCTATTCGACCTAGAAGACTTTGGCTTGAAAATAGGGTCACTTTGAGTCACCTATGACTCGACAGCACTGAACAAAACACAGAGAGAGACTAGTTGTCCTAGTGGACTGAAATCTATGCTACCAAGTCGAAAGTGGGTGACTAATCCGCCTGTTTTGCATTGTTTTTGTTCAAATAGTCTTCTAGGTCGCATAGCCCTAGAAGCTAGGATGTTGAAGCTCTGTCTCACATACACTGGGGACATGGCCAGGAGGGACCACATACTTTCATCTCATGTACTTTAAGCATGGCTGGAGAAGGATATCATTCACGGAAGGGTGGAGGGACAGCACAGGAGAGGAAGATCCCGGATGAGATGGATTGATACACAGACATTTGCCTTCCATAACAGCTAGACCACACATATCTGTCCTTTAAAAATGGGAAAATTTCTGCAGGTGAAATGTTTTGCAAGTCATCATCTTCCTTATCACTTTGTTTGTTGGGCTTTTGCATACAAGCCCTACGAGACTATGACAGAATGCTCTAGATGAGATGAAAGACAGCTCGCACTTCCACTTCCTCAGAGAGCTGCAGTTGAACTTGACACTGTTTACAATTCTTACTTTTCTCTGTGATTTTATTTGCTGACAGTCATTCTGCCAAGCCAGAAATGATAGATTACATAGAGCCACTGGAGTATTTGGGGTTTTTTCTCTGCTGCCTTTTCCTTACTGATAACAATATCCAAGTAACTATGTAAGATGGTTAAAGATTTGTAGTTGGATTACACATGTTTAAGTAGAGACATACCTCTTAAAGTTTTTCTCTCCTTAGAATAGACAGGGCTTTGTAATTTAGGGGAGGGGAAAAAGTAAGATGATTACCAATGAGTAATAACACTAAGAGAATTTGTAGACTGTTTTATCAAGTTTTAATAGACTGTCTTCCCCCTCACTGGACTAAATATAAAAGGAAAAATTGTTGGTAGTACTAAATATTGTCGTAGACCCCGGAGGATTGGAGGCACCGTACAAATAAAACTGAAACCAGTCAGTCACTGTTGAGGGGATTCCAAATGTCATAAAACAACGTCATAGGGTCTTCTTGAGCAAAAGCTCAGAGGTTTATTGGGGAGGTCATAGATGGTCCAGATGAGTAGAATGCTCATCGTCATAGGGAGAAAATGGTTGCCCTTCTAAGATGACAAAAACGGAATAATTTCTTAAATTGTTGGAGGAGGAAATGAAGGCTACCAAATTCATGATTGACTGAAAGACCATCATGCGAGTTAAAGGCAACATTGTTAGAAGTGAGACTTTTTTCTAGGATAGATCCATGACTCACAGGTGGAATTAAATGATTGATCAACAGTTGATACTATTAATTTTCTTAACCAGTAGATAAGATGTAGGATGAGGTCAGACTGTTCCAGAATAAGATAAATTTTCCTGTTAACATTCATCCCATGGGGTGGGGGGACCACACCACAAACAGATATGTCTTAGAGAAGTTGCAGCCAGAATACTCCTTGGAGGCGTAGATGATAAAGTTTCATCTCACGTACTTTAAGAATGCTGTTAGGAAAAGCTGTTCCTTGGAGAGCAGCATCATACTTGGAAGGTAGAAGGATGGTGAAAGAGAGGAAGACCCTCAGTGAGGTGGATTGACATAGTGACTGCAGCAATGAGCCCAACTATGATTGTGAAGAAGGCACAGGATAGGACAGGGTTCAAATCCGTTGTTCATAGGGTCTCTATGAGTTGTATTTGACTCGTCAGCACCTGACAACATTAGTATTACTGCTTCCTTGATCATGTCTGTTTCTGGAAATCCATTTTAAGGTTTAGGTAAGACCTTATCTCAAGATAGCTTCAATATGTTTGTAATGAGAAAGTTCCTTTTGTAATAGATTAGATATTGTACACTAGTCAGACCTCTGAAAAGAATGTCTTTTTTAGGGTAAATCAATAGCAAGTTTAAAGAGAACCATTTAGAAAGGCAGCTTTTAAGTATCGAACATGGATTCTAAGCTCTTGTCTGGACTAAACTGGAGTTAATGATCTGTTTGTAGACTGCTGTATTTACACACAAAACAGTGCCTCCGATTTTAGACTTATACACAGCTCTTGGTGTCAGACTAGTCATGTACTCAATGGAGTCTCTAATCTGAATTTTTAAAAGTCTATTGTTGGAGGGGCCATCTCCTCCGGTACCAGTCAGATCCAATTTTGATGGTACACACACAGAGAAAATAATAAAATTTAAAATAAAAAAAGTGGATTGTTAATTCATTTTGAGGTACCATCTTAGGGAAAAAAAAATATATATATATATATAGAGAGAGAGAAAGTGAATTGTTAATGTTGTGTGCCATGGAGTCAGATCTGACTCATAGCTGACCCTCCAGCGGGTTTTCTGAGTCCGTAAATAGCATGAGAGGATATTGTTCATCCTTCTCTAGTGTGTCTGTGTGTGTGTATAAATGACATCTTTTTTGGTATTGCAGTACAGCTTCTTGCCATTAGGCCACCAGAACTGCTAAATGACATACATCTTTTTTAGTGGCAAAACATTGATGAGTCCATAGTTGTGACATAAGGCAAGCCAAGGATTTAAATCCTAAACAGCAGTTGCTCTCCACCAGACTTCCTTGCATCTTTTTTGTGGTCACACCTCTGAGGAAACTTCTTTTTGACTATTTGGCTGTGATATAGCATAGATTATATATGCTGGAGAAAGTGCAGCTGGAGTGCTCCTTGGAGGCAGAGGTGACCAAGTTTAATTTTTCATCCTTTGGGCATGTTGCTAGAAGAGACTGCTCCTTGGAGAGCAACGTCATGCTTGGAAGGGTGGTGAGACGGCGAAGGAGAAAAACTCAGTGAAATGGACTGACAAGTGACTGCAGCAGTAAGTTTGAGTATCAGAGACTGTAAGGATGGCACAGGGTAGCACAGGGTTCAGATCTTTTGTTGAAGAGCTGTTATGAGTTATACTCAAATTGATGTCTCCAAGCAACATCAATATTGAGGGAATGATTTATCTTACATCATAGCTCATCAAGGACATGATTTGTATGTATCATAACTGCCAAACCATAGAATTATGACCAGTGAGTTGACACAATCTTAACGATCACAGATGCCACTGAGTGGACTCGAAATACCGATCTTTGAGCCAACTCCTGAGCACACTACCCATCTACACTACTGAGGATTGAGGAGGATCACCACCATTTCCATTTAATCTCTTGTGCTTTAGATGACTGTGTTCAGTATCACTTAAGTTTTTGCTGTGCTTCATTCTTCTCCAGGGAGTGTAAGAGTACCTCAGGAGTTGCGGTTTCGTCACGCTTGCTGTGTTGGTATTGTTTCCCAAACCCACCTCAGTGCTTTGAACCCTACTGACCATTGGCTGCAGGTCAACATTGGGGTTCTTAATGTCAGTGCTAATGGGGAGAAGGTGAGCTTTCTGCATATTTATTATTTGACTTAATACTTATTTGTGATCAAGTGGTTGATTTCTTCTTACCCTGGTACTTTATTTTATACTGTTGTTGTGTGCTCTCTAGTCAGAACCAACTCATAGCTGACTCTCCAGTGTGTGTTCAGAGGCATGGGAAGAGATTACCCATCCATTTCCAGTTTTTGTTTATAACTAGGCATTTGGGTTTTTTTCCATCTCAGTTTTTATAGGCTGTACCTAAGCTTTGAGATAGTGTCTTTATTTGGGGGGAGGAGTCACATTAAAAATACATTGTATTTTGGGGTAGCAGCATCTGACCCCCTCCTACTGTCCTAAGAGTAAGAGTCCTCCTGATCAGTACCGACCTTCTGACTTTGACCTCTTCCCTGTTGGGTAAGAGGAACAAAAGTTTTTTAGTGCTGCCAATGTAACAGCCCAGGGTATTACACCTGACCAAGCAAACACAGGCCTCAAGGTGCTTGGCTATTAACTCTGGGAGTTAAAAAACCAGAGGTAGAGAAGCCACATTAAGTAATATGCTATACTGCAGTTCCAGTAAATATGATACTTTTCCCCTATTTATAAAAACCTATAAATTTGTTTTCTTAGATATTTAATTAGTGAAAGCCCCTGTTTCTGGCTTCTATTTGTAAACATATTATTAAATGTAATTGAAGAGAGTAGGTGGTATTAGAAGGGAATGCTGGTGGAACAGGGAAAAGAGAGGGTCAAGACACCTGTGTCAACGGCAGGGCCAACCCTGGAACTACTGATTATTTCTACAATTGGGAAATATCTTTCATCTGCATTTTTTTCCCATAATATGGAAAAAATTTAGATTAAGACAATAGGAAGAAGGATTGGCCATACACTTCCAAAATAGCAAGCCTTCGAAAACCCTATGTACAGTAGAACACACTTAGACTAGAAGATAGGGCAGCAGAGGTGGAGCTTTCAAATATGGAAATGCTAAGGAAGATGAACAGTTGTAAGCAGACAGTAGTGGTTGGAACATGGAATGTGAGAACTATGAATATAGGAAAATTAGATACTGTTAAGGAAGAAATGGAACACATAAATATTGACATAGTAGGTAATGGCAAGATGAGATGGACTGGCATGGGACATTTTAAATCAGATAATCATGTGATCTTTGCTGGAGATGAAAAGGTCAGGAAAAATGGGATTGCTTTCATAGTTAAAAAAGTCATTTCTAGATATGCCTTGAAATACAATATTGTGAGTGACAGGAAAATATCCACATGCAGACAAGAAAGGCCAGCGAATCCCACTATCATTCAAATACATGCACCAAAAACCAGAGGTAAAGAAGAGGAAATAGAAGATTTCTGCCAACTTTTGCCATCAGAGATCGATTGAACATGCAATCAAGATGCATTAATAGTAATGGGTGACTGGAATGCAAAAGTTGGAAACAGAGAAGGATGAGTAGTTGGAAAACATGGACTTTATAAGGGAAATGAAGCTGGAGATAGAATGATTGAATTTCTCACTACCAATGATTTATTCATTGCAAATACATTTTATAAGAAACATAAACTCAGTTTACACACATGCATTTCACCTGATGGTTTGCATAGGAACCTGGAGAAGGTCAGTAGCAGCTGTGAAAACTAGGCCGGATGCTGATTGTGGAACAGACCACCAAGTACTCATATGCAAGTTCAAGCTGAAGCTAAGGAAAGTGAAATCCAATCCACAGGAACCAGAATAATGACCTTGAGTCTATCCCACCTGATTTTCAAAACCAACTCAGAAACAGGTTTGAGGCCTTGAACACTAATGAGTGAAGAAGACCAGATGAGTTATGGGAAGATAAGAATATCATCCAGGAAGAATGCAAAAGGTCGTTACAAAGACAGGAGGAAGAAGAGACCAAAATGGATGTCAGAGAGTTTGTGAATATTGCACTGGAGCGCTATGAAGCCAAAGCAGAGGGAAGAAATTAAAACATAAGGAGCTGAACAGAAGATTCCAGAAGGCAGCGTGGGAAGACAAAGTAAAATATTACAGTGAAATGGGCAAGAAGTGGGAGTCAGAAAATCAAAAGGGCCGAACTTGCTCAGCATTTCTTTTTTCTTTTTTTTATTGAGCATTTCTTAAGCTCAGTGAACTGAAGAAGAAATTTGAGCCTCTAGTTGCAATACTTAAAGATGCTTTGGGCAGATTATGAAATGATCCTGGAAGTTTTAAACGAGGCTGGAAAAAGTAGACAGAGTCATTATACCAAAAGGAATTGGAAGACATAGAAGAATTTCATGAAACAACATATGAGCCTGTGTTGATGAAGATAGAAGTTCAAACTGCTTTGAAAGAATGGGCAAAAAATAAAGCCCCAGGAATTGATGGTATACCAAGTGACAGATTTCAACTAACAGATGCTGCCCTAGATGTACTCACCAAGTTGTGCCAAGAAATCTGGAGGACAGCACTTGGCCGACTAACTGGAAGAGATCTATATTTGTTCCCATTCCAAACAAAGGTGATCCGACAGAGTGTGGAAATTACCGAACAATATCATTAATATCATATGCAAGCAAGATTCTGCTGAAGATGATCCAAAAATGACTGGAACAGCACATCAACAGAGTGCAGACTGGGTTTAGAAGAGGTTGTGGTACTAGGGATATTATAGCTAATGTTAGATGTATCTTGCTGAAAGCAGGGAGTGTAAGAGAAATGTCTATCTGTGTATCATTAATTATGTAAAGGTGTTTCACAACAAACTGTGGCTGACTTTGAGAAGAATGGCAATCCCAGAACACTTGATTGTGCTTATGCAAATCTTATACTTGGACCAGGAGGCAGTCATCAGAATAGAGCAAGGAAACACTGCTTGGTTCAGAATTGGGAAGGGTATAAGCCAGGGATGTGTCCTATGTCCATACCTTTTCGAACCATATGCAGATAAGATTATCCAGGATGGTGGGGTCTCTGAGGCGAAATGTGGCATCATGATTACAAGAAGACTCATCAGCAGTCTGCATTATGCAGATAACACAACCCTGCTTGCTGAAACTGAGGAGGACCAAAACCACTTGCTGTGGTGGATACTGCAGCCCTCAGTATGGATAGAAGCTCTATATCAATAAAACAGATTCTCACCACTGGGCCGACTGGTAGCATCATGCTGGATGATGAAGAGTTTGAGATTGTTCACAGCTTTAGTTTGCTTGGCTCCATGATAAACACTGTTGGCACCAGCAGCCAGTAAATGAAAAGATGTATTGCAATGGGAAAGTCTGTGGTTAGAGACCTCTTTAAAGTACTGAAGAGTAACCATGACAGTCTGGAGACTAAGGTGTGCCTGATACAGGCCATGGTCGTCTTTTTTTTTTAAATAATTTTTTTATTAATTTTAATGAAAATTTACAGAGACATGGTCTTTGCCATCACTTCCTATGCATCAGAGAGCTGGACAATGACTAGGGATGATAGAAGGAAAATTAATACTTTTGAGCTGTGGCGTTGAAGAAGAGTATTGAATATACCATGGACTGCTAAGAGAACGTCCTGGAGAGGGCTAAACCAGGCTACTTTTTGGAGGCAAGGATTCTGAAGCTCCATCTGACATACTTCAGACATGTTGCAAAGAGGGACCAGTCCTTGGAGAGCGACGTCATGCTTGAGTTGGAGGGACAGCATGGGAGAGGAATACCCTCGATGAGATGGATTGATTCAGTGACTGGGGTAATGGGAGTAGGTGTGCCAGAGACAGTAAGATTGGCACAGGATAGAGCAGGGTTTAGGACAACTCATAAGGTCGCTATGAGTTGTAGGTGACTCGATGGCATATAAAACAATTGCATATGAATTTATTAAAAGAAAATAAAGTTGAGAAAAATACTCTTGAGACTTGCATTTTTATTTAACAAGAGGAATCTTGATGAATAATGAAAAGAGAGTAATTTTTACACAATCTGTTGAAATATCTTAAAATACAGTTTTTAATATGAACTCTTATAGCAAGAGTTCTAGAATCTAAGTACTAGTTACTTAATTTTAGTAAACATTTGGAAATCAATGAATAAGGAACAAATCTAATTTGATATTTTGAAGAAGTAACAAAATGTTTGGATTTGGTAATTTGATTGACTTAAGCAAACAGAAGCCAAATGTCCTACTGTCCAGTTGATTCTGATTCATGATGACTGTGGAAAGGACAAAAAACTGCCCCGTATGTAAATCTTTGCAAACAGACTTAGCAATTTTCTGCCAGAAATAGACTGGTGTATTTGAACTATAGACCTTTTGGTTAACATTGAATTATGTGAACTACTGTATCCCCAGGACACCTGGTTCTCCACCAGGGCTTCTCTTGCCTGGCTAAGAAAAAGGAAGAGTAGTTCATGCTACTTGTTTTTATATGTAAAGCCATTTGTTAATGAACTGTGTGGCCCTTTCTTGAAGGTGGATCTTTCAACATATCCATGTTTCATTTTCAAGAATAAAGTCATTGTAAGACCTCATACAAGAGAGGAGATAAAAGTACTTTTTATCCCATCTGATCCTGGGATTTTTAGATGTGTATTCAGCATTGCGTCTTGGCCGTTTTCAGCAGATGCTGACACAGTATTACAAGCCAAAGCCCTGGCCAGCAGAGTCATTCTCACTGCTATTGCTGAGATGCCTTTCGTTGAGGTAAGTGTATCTTTGAAACATGACATTTTCTTGATGACTCTTTAACCTTAGAAGTATTCTTCTTGAACAAATGATTTATAAATGTGGTACAGATTAGTTTTACTTTAGTGATTCTTGCCTAGGGTGGAGGTCTGCCCAATGGGATGGCTTTAAAATCCCACAGGATTTTTTATTTTTTCAAATGAATATTCCTTAAATGATACAGCAATCTTCTTTCTATTTGTGGAACTGAGCAAACTGGTTTTACTGTGATGCTGAACATTGTTCTATAGTCTTGTTAAATAGCATATAGTTACCAGTTATGTACAATGTTTGAATGAGCTTCTGGATTGATTTATGCTGGGAAGCACGAGTGGCTTTCACTTCCTAAACTAGATGCCTTTGAAAACTTTACAAACTCTCTAAACTCTATAAATGTAAAGAAATGATGTTAGTTATAGAACAGAGTTCTGTACAGAAATAATGTTAGTTATAGGACAGAGTACAGTGCTTTTGTGCAAAGCTTATTTTCAGTCGTATTTGACTTGACTACACTTAAACATTGCTAATGAAATTTGTGCTATTATATCTTGAGGCACACGCTTCTCCTTTGTACATCACTCTTTGTTAGTGTGCAGTATGAAGTAACCTGAGTTTGCTGTGATGCTGAACCTTGTACCATGGGAGTATCAAATAACAGAATGGTTTCCCAATGTGTACAGTGTTTGGTGGAGCTTCCAGTTGTAAAAGAGATTTGGGAGCAAGAGTGGCATCTACTTCCTAAACTACATGCCTCTGGAAACTGTTGTTGTTGTTGTTGAATGCCTTCGAGTTGTAGACGACTCATAGCGACCCTATGAACGAACAGCCTGAGCACTGTTCGTACATAGAGTTTCCGGAGGCAAGCCATTTTGGAAGTGGATGCCGCTCCTGCTTCCAGGCTTGATTTAGTCGGGAAGCTCCAGCCAACACTGTCCACCATGGGTGCCCATTACCATGATTTGCACATCACTGTCACAGGCTTCAGCATCACAGCAACCACGAGTTACCTCTGTACAGCAATGCACAGACCAGTGCTATACCACCTAGAAGAATGTTTGACAGGAAGACAATTTGAACCTGGCCCGAGGCCTTAAGGCTGCCTCCTGGTTCAAACCCTAGGCCCAGGCTGGCTAGCCTTACTCCAGGGATAGAGCAAACCTGCACGTCAAACACATTCCCGGAAAAGCAGTCGACTCCAAAACTTGCCACGATTCCTGCACTCCCACCACCAAGCTCCTGCCTTCTGGCAAGGAGAGCTTCCCACGAGCCTGAGGAGGAGCCAGCCAAACCAGGAACTTGAATAAATGACAATAGTTACGGGATTGGTGGAAGATCTATTAACAATTTGCATTATGCAGATGACACAACCCTGCTTGCTGAAACTGAGGAGGACCTCATGCACTTGCTGCAGAGGGTCAAGGACTGCAGCCTTCAGTATGGACTGAGGCTCAATGTCAAGAAGTCAAAGATTCTCACCACTGGACCAACTGGTAGCATCAGGATGGGTGGCAAAGAGATTGAGATTGTTCACAGCTTCAGTTTGCTCGGCTACACGGTCAACACTCTTGGCACCAGCAGTCAGGAAATAAAAAAACGTATTGCGATGGTAAAGTGTGCTGTTAGGGACCTCTGTAAAGTACTCAAGAGCAACAGTGTCTCTCTGGTAACTAAGGTGGCCTGATACAGGCCATGGTCTTTGCAATCACTTGTTATGCATCAGAGAGCTGGACAATGTCTAGGGAGGACAGAAGGAGAATTGATGCCTTTGAGCTGTGGTGCTGGAGAAGAGTATTGAATGTATCATGGACTGCCAAGAAAACAAACAGATTCATCCTGGAGAGGATTAAACCAAGCAACTCCTTGGAGGCAAGAATCTGGGGCTTCGTCTGACATACTTTGGGTGTGTTGCAAGGAGGTACGGGTCCTTGGAGAGGGACATCAAGCTTGGGAGGGTGGAGGGATGGCGCAAGAGGGGAAGACCCTCATAGAATGAGATGGATTGATTCAGTGACTGGGGTAATAGGGATGGGTGTGTCAGAGGCAGTGACTCGATGGCACATAACAGCAAACAATATTAGGTCTTTTGTTCATACAGTCACTATGAGTTGCACTCAACTCGACAGTGATCAACAACAATAATAAGTGATTCTTATTAATTTTCCATTACAAAATTTAAATTTACTTCTATTTTTAATTAGTAACAGAAATATATTTGCTAACATATTAAAAAACCAAAGTGTAACACTAAATCCTATTTCCAGCTAAGTTCTGTTGTAAAGTCTTGGGTTTTTAATTTTGTTGTTGTTGTACATGTTAATAGGGACTTGTTAGGATAGTGTCAGGTTTTTATGCTTGATGATTATTTGCTGAAAAAAGTCACCCAATTTCTAGAAGTGGGGTGAAATATTAGGTCTGATCTCATTGAGGATATAGGCAGTCTCCTCTCGTACAGTTTACTGCCTCTGAAAACCTGCTTGAGCGTCGGCTATAAGTAAGTTCTAACTCAACAACAATAACATCAATTGAGAAGAATGGAGAGATCCTTGTGAAACACACACCTTTGAACATTGACTCTTAACCTTTCCTGCACATTGGGATAAACTGGGTACTTTTTAAAACTTCTCAAGAGAATTACACATAGGATCTTAAAAAATAGTGCTTTATAAGAAACATCTTTTTTTTAAAAAAATATGGTAACATTTTTAGAATGAGTACAATTTAAGAATGTGAAAGAAATATGGGAAGGTGCAAAGCAAAAGCAGAATATTTTTGCCAAGATAAAAGTTGGTTGTTTCCTATCACATGACTTGAATCTAAAAGGCTTAGTTAACTCTTAACAGGTGATTTCTTTTAATAAAGCTGTAGTTATGTTCCTCAATGTAGAAGTGGTGTACCATTTTCCCAATATTAGTTCACCTTCAGCAACTTCAAATTATTGTTAGGTGCTTCTGGAAATGACCAGTAGCCAACTCTCTAGCGAGTTTTCTGAGGTTGTAAATTGCACGGAAGGAGATTGCCCGTCTTTCTTCTGAGGAACTGCTGGTGGATTTATACTGATGGGCTTTTAGTTGCCAGCACAGCTCATTACCCACTAGAGCTCATTGGAGCTGCTGCTGTTTTGGGAATCTATGTGTTCTGATTTGCCAATGCTTCGCCAGAGGGCACTTTGTGGAAATGGCAGGGCTACTAATACTTTCAGGATAGGACAATTTGTGATGTTTTCACAGAATCGCTATGAGTCTAAGTTAATTAGGCAACACTTAACAACAACAGTAGTAGTTTCAATGACTCAGGTAATGGGTCTCATACTAGAGGTATAATGGTATGGCCATGTCAGATGGCCTTTCCCTGCTTTTCCGTCCATATATAATCATTCTTGTTGTTTCTCAAGGATTTTATAGCTCCCTTCTAATAGAAAATGGGTGTTTCTGAACTTCCAGAGATTAAGTTCCATTCCTGCTTGTGATAAGCTTCATGTCATACCTTCTAGTCTCAGTGTGCTGGAAATCTAAATGTAGAAAACATTACATGTAAATCTGCTTCCACTTGCCAATTTCAATTTTTTTTAATATTTGGCTAGGTCAAACAACAACAATAATTTTTGTGGTTGCTTTTGTTCAAAATTAGTATTACTGTAATCCATAGCAGAAAATCTGTCATAATTTTGTATCTAGAACAGTACTTGACATGCAATCAGTACTTACTTTAAATGTTCTAGACTTAGTACATACATTTTTGTATAATTTTTAGCATGCTTACCTGTTAGAATTTTGTGTCAAAACTGACAATGCCAGAATGGTTTTTTTGTTGTTTTTTAAATTTTTTAAAATGTTATTATTTTTTTTGTGTGTGTACC